ACATCAATCTCTTCTCCCTTGTCCAGGTGATAGGTCACCTGGTCGTAGAAGGAAATGAGATTGGTCAAGCAAGACCTAGTCACAACAAACCTGTGCTGGCTATCCCTTAGGATGTTGGCGTTGGCCAGTCCATTAAGGATGGCCTTTTTAATAAACTTTTCTAAGATCTTCCCTGGGATAGAAGTCAGGTTGATGGGCCTATAGTTAGCCAGATCCACTTTTCTCCGTTTCTTGAAGATAGGCACCATGTTTCCTTTCTGCGTCTCCATTTCTTCATCTCATTCACCTTCATCAGGTTCACTGCACACCATGCAGGTGTAATGCAGTTTGAGAAATACTTTTCAAGGCTATTCAACAACCTCTAGATCCAACAACTTTCCATTATTCAACAGGGTCTGATCTTAGGTAAAGCAGCATAATAGTGAAAGGTTCTAACCCATTATCAATTGTTTAAACCATCCACCATTAATTCCAACAGAGAGCACATACCAGGTCCTGCATCTCCTTCTGAAGCCGCACCAAAGCTTTCCTTGTTCCTACAGCAAACACATAAGTATCCATGTCTTCATCATTCATTGTCACTTTTATTTGCTGGGAAATAAAAAGCAGTAAGTCCAATTAAGACTAATACAATGAACTCTGCAGTCCATGGAGCACCTGCAAAGGTCAGATGCAAATCTTATTGAGGAACCAGTGCTCTCCCCATTTCCAAATTAGCTACCCTTTATTTTTGTGTATCCAAGATGGAGAAAAAAAATCTCAGACCAGGTGGTATATACACGTGCTATTCCAACAATTAAACTGTTCTCTCTCATGCCTGGATTTAGTAGCTTTGTTTTCATGTCCTAAAAGGACAAGTTAGCTTTCTAATCTTGTTAAATATTTGAGTTTTCAATTTCAGGATTTAATGGCAGCAAGAGATATACCCAAGCTACAAAAGGACTCCAGTGGCAGCACGAGTCATAACAGACTAATTACTTGGTTTTGCCTCTTAAACTAGATGTTTATTTATGTTTTAGGTAGAATAAAGAATAATACATCAACTACAAACACACACACACACACACACACGACCTGGTAATCACTTTCAGTAACTCATAATCTGCTGCGGTTTTCTCCTTTAATGAAGAAAAATGTAGGAAACCATGGATTTACTCTTGCAGGCTGGCAGGTTGGGGCTGTGGGGAGCAAGACACAGGGGATGCCACGTGCATGTCTGTGCACACACATGCACATGGCCAGCGATACAGCCAAGCAGCAATGAGTAAGTCTAGGAGGGAAAGAGGGAAGGGAGGAGGCAGCAAATTGAGTCCCCCATTGTGAGGGAGGGAGCAAGGCAGGGTTGGCAGCTGGGGCTAGGAACATTACCCAACCAGGGTGGTGCCCAGGGCCTGGGTGGGAATGCACAGCTGTGGGACCCAGCTGAGGGAACGCGAGGAAACTGAGGCTCATCTGGGGGGCAGTAGGGAGGGGGGCTGGCTCCCCACCACCGCTTACATTCCCAGGGAGGGGATGGGCGTCAGAGGTGACCTGTTGGGACCACAAGGGGGGAAATACTTGCCCCCCCCCAGATTTTTGCACAGGGCAAGGGAGGATGTGGACCCAGCTGCTGGCAGGCAGGCAGGGGGCACCTTGCCATGGCAGTGCGGCCACTGTAGGGCTCCCAGCAGTGGCGGCACCAACACCAAGCCTCCTTGCCCTGCTTCACTTTCCCATGCCAGGTCCCGCCTGCTGACCTGCAGAGGCCCCCAGGGGGAGGGCAGAAGGGTGGGGAGCCTTGACCCCTGCAGTGGGCAGCCCACATCCTTCCATGCCCCACACAGGCTCCATCTGGTTCTGCTCCACCCATGCTGCCTGCAGTGGGGGGGGGGGGGGGGGGGGG